ATGCACTCATCCTTGAGGGGAGGCCACCAAACCATTCACGAGGGATCTGCTGCCTTGACCCAAACACCTCTCACCAGGCCCCACCTCCAACACTGGGGATGAAATTTTAACACGAGATTTGGAGGGGCCAAACATCAAGCCACATCACTGTCCCTGGGGATTGACTGATGTATTCTAGACATTTTGTATAAACAGAATTTGTGTCTGGCTTCTTTACTTACCATTGTGTTTTCAAGGTTCATCCAGGTGTTAGCATGTATCAATACTTCATTCTTTTAGATGGCTAATATTCCATTGTATGTATATAACGCAATTTGTTTATTCATTCTTCTGTTGAAGGAGATTTGGGTTTCTACCTTACGGTGATTGTGAATGGCGTTGCTAGGAACATCTGTGTCCGAGGATTTGTTTATGATTTATCTAAGTGTGTGGTTACTCCTCTGCCCTTCTGCATTGTGAACTTCTGAATGGTTGGGACCTTCAAAGCACTTTTTTTGTTTTGCAGTTTTTGGCTGGGGCTGGGTTTGAACCTGCCAACTCCAGCATATGGGGCCGGGGCCCTACTCCCTTGAGCCACAGGCGCTGCCCAAAAGGTTTCTTTTGTTTTTTATTTTTTACAGGTTTTTTTGGCGAGGGCTGGGTTTGAACCTGCCATCTCTGGCATATGGGGCCAGCGCCCTACTCCTTTGAACCACAGGTGCCACCCACAACCTTAAAAGCTTTTGTTTATCTTACTGTCTCAAACCCCTAGGCACTGAATTTTCCACTCAGTAAGTGCTCAGTTAAAGTCTCTTAAGGTGAAGTAAGCTTACACTTCTACAGGCTTTTTCGGTTGATTTTTGTTGTTGTTGTTGTTTTTTGTTTGTTTGTTTTTGCAGTCTTTGGCCGGGGCCAGGTTTCAACTCACCACCTCCGGTATATGGGGCCAGCACCCTACTCCTTTGAGCCACAGGCACTGCCAGCAATTTTTTTTTTTTTTTTTTTGCAGTTTTTGGCTGGGGCTGGGTTTGAACCCACCACCTCTGGCATATGGGGCTGGTGCCCTACTCCTTTGTTTGGTTGATGTTTTAAAATGTACTATCACATAGTATTCCTTATTGCTAGAACCACAAGGTGAGATAGAGGCACAGGACCCCTTGTCACCACTACTTAAACTGAAAGATCAAGTTAATAGTTTTCCATATACTGTGATTTGAGGAGCCTCAAACTGGTTCTGATTTTTTAGCGTTGTATTTCAGTTGTCAGTATAGTGTTTCTCTTAGACGCAGGCAAAGAAAGACCTCTGTCCTGACCTCCATGCTTTAGCAGCTCCACTCTGTCCCTCTTCCAGCCACACTGCTCCCTACAGGACCAGGAACCTGTGAGAATAAGGGGTACCTCCATGCTAGGTCATGCTTCAGGTACCTGGGATGCCTGAACAGTCCCAAGCCTGCTGCCAGGGTCTGCATGCTCCTCTTGGGTCTGTCCTTGACAGGGATGATTGTCCCAAGAGGATATGTGCTCCCAGGCCTAAGGGGTGATTGTATGGCCAGAATAGGACATAAGGCCTGGTCTAGAAGCCAGGCAGGGCCAGAGCCAGGGAGGGGTCAGCTCTTCTCACACCACTGGGGGAGGACTTAGAGGGGTCTGAGAACCTAAATTCCGACCTAGCCTTTCAGGTCATTTTGAAGGTACATTTGTATCTTCATATGAAAGGAGATAAACCAGTAGATAATACACGTTGTATCAGTTGATTCAAAGATTTCAAATATTTATTTGTTTTGAGTCAGAGTCTCACTACCATGTTTCCCTAAAAATAAGCCCTACCCCAAAAATAAGCCCTAGCAGGATTTCTATGCATTTGTTAAAGATAAGCCTTACCCCGATAATAAGACCTAGTGATGGGCATGGCTATGCAGATATGCACAGCCCTAGCAGGATTTCTATGCATTTGTTAAATATAAGCCCTACCCTGATAATAAGACCTAGTGATGGGCGTGGCTATGCAGCATATCTGCATAGCCACACCATGCATTTTAGTGTGGAGAGGAAGACATCCCCTGAAAATAAGCCCTAGTGTGTCTTCTTGAGAAAAAATAAATATAAGACAGTGTCTTATTTTGGGTGAAACACAGTACTTTGCCCCCAGTAGAGTGCTGTGCCATCTCAGCTCACAGCAACCTCAAACTCTTAGACTTAAGCAATTCTCTTGCCTCAGCCTCCCAAGTAGCTGGGACTACAGGCACCCCCCCATGAAGCCGGGCTATTTTTTTGTTGTAGTTGCCATTGTTGTTTGGCAGGCCCAGGCTGGGCTCAAACCCACCAGCCCTCTTGTATGTGTCTGGCACCCTAGCCACTAAGCTACAGGTGCCGAGTCAAACATTTCAAATATTTAGACATAAAGATCCCCATCTGAACTCTTGTTCTGAACCCTACAAGTGCTACAAATGTCATGGATGAGCCAGGTGACATCTGGTCTATAACCCCTTTCTGTCCCTCACTGCATGTCACATTTTGTTACCTGAGCACAGGGGAGCCCCTTGCTTCTGAAAAGGGCTTGTTCTAGTAGCCCATGCTGCTTGAGGACTTGGACCTAGTCTCTGAGCCAGGCTGGAGTACAACCACCAACCACCTCATCCCTTCTACCCTTTCCACCTAGACTGCTTTGATCCCCAGGTGTTTATACACAAACCTCTCCTGTGCCCTTTCTCCCCCGTGCCAATGCCCACCCAGACACCATCAGCTCTGCCAGTCCCCATTGCTTGGAGGCCCTTCATATGCAGCACAACTGCTTAAGAACATGTTGCTTCTCTGATGACCTTCAGATCTGAGTTATCAATATCCTATTTTATTCCCTCCCCATGTCATAATCAGAGGCAGACTACAGAGCAGGCTTTATTGAATTTATTTGCTTTGCATCTATTACAAATCAAGAAAGTAGAAAGAAATGAAAAACTTATCAGAATGTGCCTTTAAGCATTTAAAAAGAATTTAACCTCTTAATTTAAAAACAGAGCTTTGTTGTTAACTGTGGAAAAGAAATTGTTAATTGATAATAACCTATTAGAGGAGCACTATGAGGAGAGGGGGAGGGGTGGTGTAACAGCGAATCTACTGGATTGCCTGGGTACAGGGCATCTACATAAATGAACTGTTCACTATGGGAATATGAGCAAAATAAAATCTAGTCAACTGAAAACTTATCATTATCAAAGAATCAAAGATACAGTATCAGGAAAAATATATGTCTTATAGAGAAAATGCAAAACCCAGCACATGATTGTACAGTCACATTACACCATCATCAGCAAAACCCAGCACCAGCTGTCTAGTTCTTAGCCCCTCGCTGCCTCTCTCGAGGTTTCTTCACACCCTACTTGGAAGGTAAAGGCACAGTCAGATGCCCGGGGCTGCATTTCTGTTTAAGCAAAGTAGCCCCAAGGCAACAGAGGCAGGCACTATACCCAGAAGTTGCTCCGGGTCTCCTAGGAAAATGAGCCAGCTCTGCTACCCAGAGGGGGTCCCCTTAGTGTCTGGTGGGTTTAGGGGATGGATTATATGAAGAGGAGGATACAGAAAGGAAGATTAATTAACTTTCAGTGGCCCGAGGTGAAAATCTTGGGCAGCCTGCACCTCTGAAATCCAGCCATATAAGGAACTGATTCTGAGGCTAAAGATGGCTACATCTGCACTCCAGAGCCTGGGAACGTTTACTGGCAGCGGTGCTACAGAAGAAAAAGAGCGCATGGCAGGATAGAAAGGAAGGAGTCAACATTTCCTGGGACTTGCCCCTCCCACTCTCCCTTTTTGACCTTCCTGCTCCCCCATAGTTGGGGGTGAGTGGGTCACGGGGAAGTGGGGGATCTCTAGCTTCATACCTTTTGAGGTGTGTGGTTACAGCAATTAGCATGGGGAAAGGTGATTGATGACTTAAGGCTTCCAGTTGGCAAAAAATTTACTTTGCTGTGGCTTTGGGAATTGCAGTCTTGCTTTGGGCTATATGCTTCTGAAGCAGAGACCCTGAGAGGAAGGGACTCGAAGGTGGGCTGCATGGAGTTATCTACTTGAAGGCTGGAGCCAGAGGAAAAGGGACCTCTGCAGGGGCCCCAGGCTTGTATGACGGCGGTAAGCTTACCATCTGCCTGGTGGAAAGGACAGCTTTTGGCATCTGTAGTACACTGAATTTTGACAGGGACTTAAGTGCTTCAACAATGGGGTGTGTATGACAGGGAGTAATATCTGGGCGATTGGAGAGGGTCTCAGTAGTGCTAGAGCAAAAAGAATAACCATCCATAGGAGTATAATCATCCCCAAGAAATAGTCTGTCTCATAGGGAGGTACTTATTGCTGCCAAGCCGGTGACAGATTGACATGGGGCATATGCAAAGAGGGCACTCTGTGCGAGTGATCTGCGTGTTACTGTCACCCAAGGTGAAAGCATTGAGGGCCCCCAGGGATGTAGGAAAGATGTTTTGAGGGATAGCAGGCTGGCTGGAAGTCTGGCTGTGCAAAATTTATCTTGAAGACTCAGAATTTTCACTTCTCCCATCTCTTTTTGGAGCATTTGCAAAGTTTGGAGCAGTAACCAAATAAACGATGCATTTACTATGCTTATAAAACCTAAAAGTCAATCCTTGGGCCAAACCATCTGGATGTTTCCCTTAGAATTACTTTATATGGTCAAGGGAAATGACAACTTTTTAGTTGCTCCAACAATATGTTTTTGTTTTCTCCCTTCTGGAGCACACTGTCCAAAGCTAAAGATTTTGTAATTCTATAGCAGGTCAAACATTTTCCATAGTTTTAATCAAAGAAACGCTGGGTTTCTGGATGCTGGCTGTGACTGTACTGGAGGTTAAGGCATGCAGAGCACTTATGTAATTCAAATAATTATGTTTTAATTGCTATTTCTAAGGTTCATTTTCTTAGTAAAAGTGATCAAGGAAAGATATCACTACATAGAATTAATATAGCTATTGGCGATTATCATTTTAAATGCTGATACTCCACCCAGGAGCTGTTTAATTCATGATATCTGATATGTGGCTCCACGCTTTGGCTTTCTTCTTGGCCATGGAGAACCAAACAGGTTCAGCTGACTGGGCAGACTTGTCTGGCTTAGGCGGCAGCTGTGGCAACTCAGTTGGGAGAACTGGAGGTTTTTTGATTTCTCTTTCCATGATGGATGCCTGTGCTATCTTCATATCTTCAAATGCAACTGGAACCACAGCAAATAACACGTAAGCAATAAGAACCTGAGATATTGGGGTATATTGTTTATGGGATCCAATCAAATGTTTCTTCATCTAAGCTTTTCTCTGATCCCCCTGCTCTCAGACTTTTCTAACTCCTTTTCTCTTTAGTGCCAGCTATGAGCAAAGTCAAAGGGCTAAAATCAACAGAGGGATGGCCACAGGGGCCTAGACCTGGGAAGCCCTGTAATATCTATACCTGGAACTGCCAATCGTTGGGCAGTTATTACTGGATTATCTTATACTTTTGAACTGAGACCAGAGGGGAAAGCTATTGTATCGACTCAGTTTCTAAAGTTCCAAATAAAGTAATATTATTTTTGCTTTATCAATCCATGATGTCATGTGAAATGGATGGTAACTCAATAGGTGCACCCGTTTAAAAATTAATGCTAAACAATATTGTACCAACTACCTCAGCCAAAAGGACTAACACCTATTGGCCAATTTTACTCCCTCCCTCATCCTACTTTAACGGTGATGTACTCAGTGGCTCAAATTCAACCCATGGTTCTCAATCGAATTAGAACCATCTAGGACTCTTTGAAAAATACCAATGTCCCTGCCATTTCCTGAAGCGACTGAATCGGAATCTCTAGGGATAGAGGCAGGGCCATCTGTATTTTTATAAAAAGTGAATCAGGTGATTCTAAGGCACAGTGAGAGCTGAAAAACACTCAACAGGAGTATAGTGCCCACGAGGCCATTAATAAGTTGTAAGCGGATCAACTATTGGTATTTCATGGTCAGATAACGGGTTCCTGAATCCCTAGTCTAATTTCTTCATGAGGGGGATTAAAGGAGAGGAAAAAGATGCTTTAATATAATTCCATCCTCTCCGCATCACTGCTCGTGAAAAAAAGTCCCTCTGGCACACACTCCTTCTGATAAAATCATAGTCTATTATACCCTACCACAGTGTTTTTTCAGCTAATAACATTTCCCCACATCCCCCATCCCTGCTCAGAATTTGGAGGGGCTACAACAAGCCTTTTAAAGAATTAAAAACAACTGTGTTGACCAGTTTGATGGAAGTAGTTCGGATTGCATGTGAAAACCCCACACTGTACCCCAGAAGTACATTAATGTACATAGTTACCATTCAATAAAAAAAAAAAAGAATTAAAAACAATTCAACACCTTTGAGCCTTCGGACTGAGTAATTTTCAACAGTTTCATCCGGGATAAAAAAGGTGAGAAAGTACTAGTCTGCTATGAACTGGAAAGTAACTTGGTACTTACCTCTCACTTAGCCAGTCACAAGAATGTTATAATGAGTGACCACAGTTTTGTGCCTAGACAGCTTCTTTGATGAGGTGAAAGACTAGAAAACTCCCTGAAAGTTACACACTAGACTTAAGATTAGTCATAATTAACTAGATTTTCCTAAAACAAGCTGATATCTGTAGCCAATGAAAGAGCCGTGAGAGAATCATGAAGCTGATTGGAGGGGTTAGAAACATATACTACCCGAGCTTGAAAGTGCAAAAGTTTCACACATTCTGCCAGGGTTGCTTTGTTTTTGGCAGGGGGGAGGGAGGGGGCATGTCAGGGTGTGTGCTTTTACCTGATTTGGTAACCTTAGGTGGCTTCATCTGTGCTGGCTTCCCCTGTCTAGGGACATCAGAAGTAACTTTCAGTTTTGGTGGGGTTTCATGTGCAGGTTTCATTCCAGTTTCCTTTAATGTAAAAATGAAAACAGAAAGCTTGTAAGGCCTGACATAAAAAACAACAAATTATTCAGAAGACCATAGATTTCCACCCCTGTCCTGGGCACTATGAGTTCAACAGTAACAAAAAGGAAAGAGATTAGATGGTATAGATAAGATACAGATATAGATGAGGAAGGAAATAGTGCTGAGCCCCTTGGTTTGGAATTTAGACTCGCAAAACCTAAGCGAGCCCAAGGTTATCACCTTTCAAACCTGAAAGAAAAAGGTGTCTAATTATACAAATAGTGTAATCAGGTTAACATGAGATTTCGTTAACTTGAAAACGACCTGTTCCCTAGTACTTATCCGCAAGCTAACAGAATGTGGTGTTTACAAACAAATCTGATCGACTCATTGACATGAGTTCCAGGAGGTTTCTGCTTTTCAAAACATGCTTGAGGTCAGGAGTTTAGGACCAGCCTGAGCAAAAGCAAGACCCTATCTCTACTAAAAACAGAAAAATTAACCAGGCATTGTGGGGGGTGTCTATAGGTCCAGCTACTCAGGCGGCTGAGGCAGGAGGATCACCTGAACCCAGGAGTTTGAGGTTGCTGAGAGCCAACCTAATGCCATGGCACTCTAGCCCGGGCAACAGAGTGAGACTCTGTCAAAAACAAAAAACAAAAAGAAAACAAACTTGCTGACATATGACTTGAAGCACTCCTTGTATTAGAAAGTGCTATAACTGTAGGTCTTTTCTAAGTTTTAATTTGGGTTTTTCCAAATTAGCTTCTCCATAACTTGTCTAAATTAATGAGTTTATGTATACTAGTGTAGTTACCTCAACAAAAGTTTTAACCAAGATGGAGTCTACCCTTGTATTATCCTGTTCCTATGTAGATACTAATGATGAAAAAGAAAAATCTTTAAAGCAAAGAATTAAACAGATCCTCACAACAAACTGTGGTTCCTCAACAAGTTTAGTAAGCACTTAACAGTGTAGGAACTTAGATATATCTCTTGATATATAAATGTGGTGTTTTCTTGAGTTGATTTTCTGCAGTTTTGGTAAGAGGGGAGCAAGGGGTCATCCTGTCATCCCTGATCTACATGTGGAACTAACAGCCCAGTTCACCATGTGACTTTTTTTTAACCTACAGGTACCATGTTTCCCCGAAAATAAGACACTGTCTTATATTTATTTTTTCTCAAAAAGACACACTAGGGCTTATTTTCAGGGGATGTCTCTGTCTCTGCATAGCCATGCCCATCACTAGGTCCTATTATCGGGGTAGGGCTTATATTTAACAAATGCATAGAAATCCTGCTAGGGCTTATTTTTTGAATAGGTCTTATTTTCGGGGAAACAGGTAGGTGCCCCTTTAAACCAAATCAATATGGTAGAAGTCCAGACATCAAACAGAGAAAGGGAAATTGTTACATATTAATATGGAAAGGAGCCCAGAAATGAGAAGTTAAATGAGAAAACAGTAATTATAGTTTGATTCCTTTTATAAAAATACATATATAGATTTACATGTATCAGCATAAAATATCTGTAAGAATAGTCACTCAACTCTTTTTTTTTTTTTTTTTTTTTAGACGGAGCCTCAAGCTATCCCGCTGGGTAGAGTGCCATGGCATTACAGCTCACAGCAACTTCCAACTCCTGGGCTCAAGTGAGTCTCCTGCCTCAGCCTCCCAAGTAGCTGGGACTACAGGCATCCGCCACAACGCCAGGCCATTTTTTGGGTTGCAGCCATCATTGTTGTTTGGCGGGCCTGGGCTGGGGATTCAAACCCGCCACCTTAGGTGTATGTGGCTGGCGCCTTAGCCGCTTGAGCCACAAGCGCCAAGCCAGTCACTCAATTCTTACCCCAGTGATTACTTTTAGGTTTTATTGAATGACTTACTCCTTATTTTTCAACCAATTTCATGAACCCTGCTATAGAATATTTAGGGCAGGCTTGGATTTGTAGACTCTCCATATTCATTACTTTTTATAAACCCTTTAAAAGCATAAAGGGGGACATGTTTGTATGAGTGCAAAGTGAGCCTTTTCCCCTGAAGAGTCCTCCTGCCTTTATTACTGCTGCCAAAGAGAAGGGAACCTGCCTGTCTGGCAAAGTTCCCAATAGAAGCTTCAGGAATGTTCAGGAAGCAACCTTTAGGAATGTTTCCTGCACTGCCCAGATCTTACCCCATATTTAGTCTCAACCTTCATTCCAGCTTTGATCTTGGCTTTTAGCTGTTTTATAGGAACGTAGACCTGCAAACTCTTTGGCTTCTGCTTTGTCATGGTCAACCAAGTTATCTCTGAGATGGTTTCATCCGACCATGGACCAAGAGGCTTTCCTGAGAAAGGAATGAAAGGAGTTAGAATTGAAGCAAAGTAGGCAAGGTCTTGAGTCTGGCTGTGGCTTACCCTGAATAATGCCCCAAATGGGATCCTTATTAACTGCCAAATGAAAATAAAGAGATATCAAGTAGAGAGGGGCCCCCTTCTTTTGTGCTCTCCCTACAACTTGGCAAGGGAGAGGTTCCTTGGGTAGTCAAGAAGCTGTACTTAAAAGTGAACATACTGTCTATTTACTGGCCCTTTGCTTTCCTTGCCAATCCCTCTTCCCATACCCAAGTCAGCATAGGACAATGGTTGGCAGGTGGGCTGGGAAAATTCCTAGAAGGCCAGAGGCTCAGTACATTGATATCACTGTCTAACTGCAAGGAACATCTTGGAGTATTTTTAGCTTCTCAGTCTCTACTCAGGCATGTGGTTATATAGGTGTGGTTATAGGTGTATATAAGATTGTGTGATAGTCAGTGCGAAGGTCCAAAGATTTTGGAAGAGATTAGTGGCCCAAAGGTCACCCAGCTCTGGATTCTTAGATATTTCAGGTAAATGAAGAAACTCAAGAAACTTAGTATAAACATTTATACTAAGTTAAGATTTGGGGCTGAGAGTCTGAAGGTAATACTTTTTTTTTTTTTTTGCAGTTTTTGGCCAGGGCTGGGTTTGAACCCACCACCTCCGGTATATGGGGCCGGCGCCCTACTCCTTTGAACCACAGGCACTGCCTCTGAATGTAATACTCTATTAATGAGTTGGCTTTAAAAATCCACATGGTGTTGAGGAGGGGCATAATACATGTTAAAGTATTTTGTGAAAAAACTCAAAATTCCATCCAAATGTAAGGTGTACAGAGTAGGGGAAGAGGAAATGGAGAGATGGTCATGTGTCCATTACAGAATGTGGATATTTTCCAGAGGGGGAATTCCAGAGGGGGAATCCGTTGGAGAAGAGAAGACTTAAAATTAACTACTGTACTTCCAAATCTATTAACCTAGAAGGAAGCATTATCTTGTCCCTAAATCCTCATGCCTGCCCCATCAAAGCAACACCTTAGTAGGCAAGTCTAGAACAAACTTTAAGGCCTATTCAAGGCTTTGCTTTTTACTTCTTTCCACTGGGCACATACTTGCCATTTGCAGAGATAAAAGTCTCACCTGAGGTCTTATAAGCAGGTTTCATCATGGACAAGTTTTCAGATTTGGGCCTGCTCGGTTTCATATCTTCATAGTGGTATAGCATGTCGAAGTCCCCTGCAGTGTCCAGGACCCCCTGGGAAGTGCTCCGTCTCAGTCGAAATTCCCTACCTGTGGTGGGTGGCTTTCTGCCAAAGGGGAATGGAACAGGCTGGGTATCTTGTTTCTCATACTTTAACTTCTGTGAAGAAATGGTTCTTCTCAGCTGAACGCCAAACAGATTTTTAACATCAGCTTTAGTGGGTGAACCTGAATCTTCATCCTCATCTCTATCTTCACTCTCAAGAACTCCCTTGGGGTAAATGCCCCCAGAAGCGGATGGCTGCTGGGCAGCATCAGTGGTCGACTTCCCAGGTTTGCTCACAGGGTTTAAGATGGTTGTAAAGAGGTCTTCAGAACTTTGGCTCTGTTTCTTCATTTTGATTTTGCTTGGAGAACCCCAGGCTCTTGGTGGGGACCAGCTGCCAGAACGGCTCTCAGAAATGGTTACTTTAGCAGAAGCCACTGCAGAAATGGAGTAACCCTGTTGCTGGTAGTTAGGGTCTCCATAACCCTGGTAAGGGTGAGTGGTAGGCCCGCGCTCCGCAGCACTGCTCCGCTGTATGGGCACATTCACTGAGCCCCCTGAGAAAATCTGTGGCTGTATTTTGGACCCATCCGAGGCTTGGGAAGGCAATTTGGAAGGCAGCTGCTCTTCATATTTCTTCCTCTCTTCGGAAGAGGTGTCAAAACCGGAGGCGACTTCTTGCTGGTACTCAAGCTTCCAGGAGTCCTGGGAAAACGGTTTGGGCTGCTTTTTAAAAGCGCTGCTCTTCAAAGGAGCACTCTCAGAAAATGGGAAAACTTCTTTCTGGTCTTCAGGCCTCCCCAAGGACTGTAAAGGGTGCTTCACAGGCTGCATCTTCATAGAAATGCCGCCTCCAGGGTCAGAACTCACCACATCTGGGAAAACATGACTCTCAACTTTAGGTTTCGAGGGACGGGTGTGAGGCACAGGATCTGCGTAGATGCCCCCCTCAGCAGCAGGGCCCTCTGAGAAGATTTGCTCTGCCATAAACTTCACGAATGACTGGGAAGCACGTTTTGGACTCTGTGATTTCTTAGAAGTGCCTTCTTCAACAGCAGCGTTTTCCAGACGTGAGGACATTTCTTGAACTCTAGACTTCAGTAAGAACTGGGAAGGATGTTCGGGATGCGGGGCCATCCCAGCAGTGGCCCCCTCCATAGCACTATCAAAACTTGCAGACATTTGCTGGACTTTCTGTTTCACAGAAAGGTGCCTGGGAAACTCTGTAGAGAAGTCTTCCTCTGCAGAGAAGGCAACACTCTCAGCAGGGATGGGCTGCTTGGCTGCTGGTGCTACTGGGGTCTGAGAAAACTTCCTGGAAGGCGGCAGCTCCTTGCTGAAGGCAACACTCTCAGCAGGGATGGGCTGCTTGGCTGCTGGTACTACTGGGGTCTGAGAAGACTTCCTGGAAGGCGGCAGCTCCGCAGAAATGTTCCCTTCAGTTGCAGTGCACTCTGGACTTGCAGAGATGTGTTGCTTGAATTTAGGGTTCACCCAAGGCGGGAAAGAGTGTCTGGGAGGTGTTGGCTCCACAGGACTGGTGCCCCATTCCACAGAAGTGCTCACTGAGCCTGAAGAGACTTCTTGCTCCAATCTTGATCTCATCCGGGTCTGAGACTGATGTCTGCGAGGTTTCGGTTCCAAAGAAATGTTCCCTTCAGCCCCAGAGCTCTCGGGGAATTGCTGCTTGAATTTTGGGTTTATCCATGACTGGATAGGGCGTCTGGAAGGCACGGGCTCCACAGACCCACTCCATTCTGCAGAAGCACTCCCTGAACCTGCGGAGACTGGTTGCTTCGCTGCAGACCTCGCCAGGGCCTGAGCAGGCATTCTGGGGGGCAGCGGCTCCCCTCTAGAAATGCCCTGCCCTGGATTTGCAGAGACTTGTTGCTCAAATTCAGGGTTCACCCGTGGTTGGAAGGCATGTCTGGGAGGCAATGGCTCCGCAGGATCACTCCATCCTGCTGCAGAAGTGCTGGCTGACTTTAGGGTAGTCATCGGTGGCTGGAATTTAGGCCGCACCACAGCCTGGGAAGGGCATCCGGGTGGCCGCAGCTCCACAGAACCGCCTTCCTTAACAGCAGTGCTTTCTGAGAAGACTTTCTGGACGTGAGGATTCATCATGGTCTGGGGAGAATATGTGGGGAGCAGAGCCTCCAGGGAAATGACTCTCTCAGCAACACTTTCAGTACCTAAGAACACGTTTTGTTTAGGACTCGTCGGGAGCTGGGAATGTTTAGGAGGCACAGGCTTCAGAGAAACGCTTATCTCAGCAGCTGGGCTCTCTGGAAAGGAGGAAACTTTTTTCTCCACTTTAGGGTTCCCCCGTAAGTGGAAAGGATTTGTGGAAGGCCTTAGTGGCACAGAAATGCTTCTCTCAACAGGAGCACTCTCTGCACCTTCGGAGATTGGTTGCCTGGGCGTTGGTCTCAAGGAGGCCTGGAAAGGATTTTTGGGAGGCAGCATCTCCGCAGAAACACTCTGCTTCGTAGCACTGCTCTCTGCACCTTTAGAGACGTCCTGCTTCACTCCTGGGCCCATCAGGGGCTGCAAAGGACGTCTGGGACCCAGCACCTCCTTAGAAACAGCCTCTTTCATATTTGCAGCTTCTGGAGCTGTGGAGACTTTTTGCTCAACTTTAGGCCTTATCGGGTTCTTAGAAGGCATTCTGGGAGGCTGCGGCTCCCTAGAAATGTGCGAGTCAACAGTAGCGCTCTCTGGACTGGCAGGGACTTGTTGCCCTGATGTAGGATTCCCCCGTGGCTTGGAAGTGTGTCTGGGGGGCTTAGGCACCATAGACATGCCCCTTTCTGTAGAAGTGCTTACTGGGCTGGTGGGGACTTGTTGCTTAACAGGATTCCCCACAATGGGCTGAGAAGAGCGTCTAGGAGACCGTTGCTGCACAGAAGCACTCCCCTCTGTAGGATTGCCCGTGGCAACTGAAAAGACTTCTCGTTGAGGTTTGGGCTTCCTCAAGGCCTGGATAGGGTTTCCATGAGGCAGATCTTCCTCTGAGCTGCTCCAATCCTCAGCACTGTCATACTTTTCAACATAATCATTTGATTCTGTGGAGACTTCTACTACTTCTTCTGCTTCTTCTTCTTCTTCTTCTTCCTCCTCCTCCTCTTCATCATCATCATCGTCGTTGTCGTCATCATCATCGTCGTCATCATCACCACCATCTTCTTCCTCATCATCTTCGTCTTCATCTTCTTCATCTTCTTCTTCGTCTTCTTCATCATCATCTTCTTCTTCTTGTTCTTCTTCTTTTTCTTGTTGTTGTCGTTGTTCTTGTTCCTCCTCCTCTTGTTGTTGTTGTTGTTGTTGTTGTTCTTGTTCTTTTTCTTGTTGTTCTTGTTGTTCTTGTTCTTGTTCTTGTTCTTCTACTACTAGTAGTACTTCTTCTTCTTCTGCTTCTTCCCCTTCTTCTTCTTCTTTGAGGTCCTCCAAAGACTTCGAAGAGCATCTGGGGACTAGCTTCTCCTCAGAGCTGCTAAAGTCCACACTTTTTGATTCTGAGATGTTTAGTTCATCTTCAAAGTTTCCTGAGGACTCGGTAGAGTTACTGCGAGTCAGTTCCTCAGGACTACTTTCATCATCACAAATACTCTCTGAATCTGAGGAATCTTCTTTATCATCGGACTTCCTCGAAGACAGGGAAGAGTATCCAGCAGACACTGGCTGCTCTGAACAGCTCGATCCCACAGCTAAACTTTCTGATTGTGGGATGACATCTTGGTTATCTTCAGCCTTACTCAAGGACTGCAAAGAGCATCCAGGAGCCTGATGCTCCTCACAGCTGCTCTCCTCCTCTGAAACACTCTCTGAATCTGAGAGGACTTCTTCAACTTTAGGCTTCCTCAAGGGCTTGGGAGGTAGCCTTTTGGGAGGTAGCCTCTTGGCAGAAATGCCTCCCTCGATGGGAATATTTGTCATATCCAAAGCGCAGGATGCAAAAGCCTGAACATTTCTAGGAAGCTTTTGCTTGTGGATAGTTGGGGCATGTTGGGCTGCCTCCATCTTGGATTGGGCATTTTGTGACTCAACTCTGAAAGCTTCTTTCTCTCCTGACACTTTAGCTTCTGCTGCCACTGAGTGACTGGCCTCTTTGGGGGCTACAGAAAGGATTTTTGCCCCTGGCAAAAGAGCAGCTCTGGCTTTTGTCTTCATGGCTCCAGAAGCCCCATCTTCATGATATGCCTGTGGACCATGAATCATGTGTTCTTCCACTTGTTCAGGTATGGGTGGCTGTGCTGATGATCTTTTGGCTTCTAAATCTATGCCAGCATTTCTCTTCCTCCTATCATCTTTCTCTGAAAGCAACTCCTGAGGAGTAGTGGTTTCTGCTTGTGGAATTGTAAGCTTCTCCTTGACTTGCTTCTCCATGGATTGGTGCTGGACTTTTCTGGCAGGCTTACTGGTAGGTGAGGACCCAGCTTTACTGCCCTGGCTGTACTCTTGACTGGATTGTTTAAGGCTTCTTCCTTTGGGTCCACCCTCACTCTTTCCTGAAGCATTTAATACTCGTCTTTTCCGTCTTCTTCCATGTCCTGCTGACATTTGATGGCCAAGACTTCCAGTAACATCTGTTTTTGCAGCCTGCTCTGTTGGCTTCTTATCAGAAATCTCAGGTTTTTTGTTCTGTTCTTGGCTAACAGGACCTGTACCAAAGAGAAATAAGGAAAGGAGAAATACGTGTGCTTTTCACTTCCTAAAATAAGAGTACTATGCCCTAGCCCAAGGGGTGGCTATTTGCTATTGAATACCCTTGTATGGAGAAGGAGCTGTTTGGAAGACACAGCACAACTCAGTCACTATAAGCCTTCTGCAGTTTGGACATTTTTAAATTAAAGGGGAATGCCAATTTTATGAACTGATTCCTGGGTTAGCTCATCACTATTTTCTCAATAGTCTGGTCCACCATTAGGTGTGAGAGATGTCGAAAGGCAAAATTTGAACTCTAACAATGATTACCTTTGAAGAAACTGACTAGGATGCAGGAAGGGAAAATTTTACTTTCTAACTAGCCTTTCTGTTTTCTACTTAATATGTATGCAAATTGCTTGAGATTTCCTATCCTATCCAAGCTTCTTTTCGTTTTTGGGGGGAAAGGTATCAAAAGGAGTTATCTGAGAGGTAGGCTTGTGGCCCTCTTTTCTATTCTCTTGTATTAAAATAATCCTATGTAATATACATGTGAAGCAACTCTTGGGACACCTTAACAGGCTTCAGGTCAATCACACGTGGATCCACAGTCCTCCAGTCAAGCACAAGATGGCAGTTATACAGATTGCTCCTCTTTTTTTTTTTGAGTACTTTCTCTAAGGAAGTTAATTCAATCCCTAGGTAAAAGGGCTCCTTGCTGCCTTTCTTCCCTCACCATCTGCCACATCCCTAGTTCCATCTAGTGGCTTCATATCCAGCACCCAGAGCTCGTTGTGTTTCAAACCACTCCTATGATACAGAAAACCAACCAAAGTATCTACCCCCAGTGGTATTGTGACTAGGTTGTATCCTCTGTATGTAAAAGATACAATTATTTAAAAAGAAATCTTTTTAAAAAAAAAAGATAAAAGATTACTCATTTAATATTTCTTTCTATCTTTTGGCAGGACCATTTTGTGATTTTGTTAGTTTTCCGTGGGAAAATATGTTTAGGAATATCCTATCTTTGATCCCACATGTGAAATCCTTTGTGAATCCCAAGTGTTTGACTTAATTTGTGGAACTGTATTTTGTCTGTCAAATATGGCTTGAAATTAGCTTGCCATCAGCTGGAGCCAACGTCCACATATGGACACACACAAACATAGAGATTTTTCACTCTGTTGGCATTTGTTGTTGGGGCATCTGACAGATGTTGGCTGCCAATGACCTCTGTCTGCAGCTGCCCTAGCTCTCTTTGCCCACAGATATGGGAAATGGTCTCACTGTTAACACAAGACCTTCTCAGTCTAATGGAAGAGAAAAAATACTTTAAAAATGATTTCTGGGGGGCCAAGTCTGTTATTCTTATGTGGTTCTTTGTTGAGAAAGGATGCTGAAAGGCAAATTACTGACAAGCACTCTCCTACCCAGGCTCACTGAGGAACTTGGCATGTACTTTAGCCTTGGAGAAGATTAAGTGCATTCCTGTACAAGTGAAACAACCTCTCTGGTTGGAAATTCATTTAGATAAAATAAGAATCCAGGCACGACCCTTTAACCTAAATCTCACTCAAGTGGCCAGTGTATTAATTTGGCGGTTTAGATGTAGAAAACTGGACCATGTTCATCTGCATCTGGAAAGCTCATCTTACAAGGGCAGCAGTCTTGGCTAATTCTTATGTATAGCTCCTATCACATAGCCCTGTGCAATGAAGCCTGTCGTGTGTGTTTCTAGGTGAAGGCGAAAATGTGCTAACCTGCACCGTCTTTTTTCATCTCCTTTTGGTTACCTTCTTTTGGTTTGACTGTAATCTTTTCTTCAGAAACCAATGGAGAGGTTGGCTTCCCCCGCTTCAGTTTCGCCTAAAACAGGGAAAGAAAAAGCTTGAGTGTGTCTGAAGTGCTCTCCACCCACCTCTTAAAGGTTGCAAAGGGAAAAAAATTAGGAAAAAAGTCCTTGATGCTGGATGCATACCAATACCATTAGAGATGGAAGTTATTTCCAACAGCATCCATCGTTGAGAGATCCCTGGGGATCATCATTCTATTAGAAGTCATTCACCCTAATTTGGAGTTTCTAATCTCCAAGTGACAGTCTGAGGGATCTCTCTGAAACATCCCCAGAAATTACTAACCCACACTGGAAGGTCATAAATCTGAAAACAGGGTTGCTGGGCCTGATGACAATCATGCCCTTGGTGACATTAAAATTCTCAGATTTGCTTCACTGGACCTGTGAGCCAAATTCAAATCCTCTCTGGCTTCTTTTCTGGGACTTGAGTGAAAGCATAAATTACATTTTCCCAGCTTGAAAGAAGGAAGACGATTGGGGTTTTGTTGGAAAGGAAGAGAAAAAAAGATGAAGAGTTTAGCCCCTACAGTGAACAAATAGAATTGGTTTAGTGTAAACAAGGCCTTTAGATAATTATAGTGCAGCTCTGGAAATGTCAGAGTAGCACCTCACTAAACAGTGTCTGAAATTTGCTCAGTGTAAGCCCTTTATGGCATGCGTGTAAAAAAACCCATATAACTGCCACTACCTGGGTGTTTGACTTTGTGGAAATACTTGAATTATTTGTGCTTTAATGTCTTTTCCTACAAAAAGCTTGTACTACACAATTGTTTAGTCTCTTCCTACTCTGATTTATAGCCTCTTATGTTTAGCCCAGAATCACTGGGGAATTGGGTGTTTTTGTTTTTGTTTTAGATTACATCCTTGATAAACTAGGGAATTAGGCGTTTGACTAGAGTGAATTTTTAGCTGACACATACTTTTAATTACCATCATCTTTGAATTCTTAACCTTTAGTAAAAACCTTTTCCAAAAGCATTACTGCCCTGCCTTCTTAAACAAGGATCAGGGAACATAATCCACTTTTTCTTGACTCAGACAAATAATGAACATGATCTATTACACTGGACTATGATAACAGTGTGGCCTTGAGGGACCTACTGAGGTGGGCAAAGTTCTTGAGCCCCTATACCAAAGGACCCCAGATTGTTCTTCTCATCTCTGTCTGCTATAAGTTGTTACTTCTCTTTACTGTCAGGTGTCTCAGTGTGATCTGTGGCCATGTTTTGTTTGTTTGTTCACTCATTTGTTTTGAGACATGGTTTTCCTCCATCACCCAGGCTGAAGTGCAATGGCATGATCATAGCTCACTGCAGCCCCAAACTCCTGGGCTCAAGCAATCCTCTTGCCTTGGCCTCCCAAATAGCTAGGATGGCAGGTGAACACCACCATGCTCTGCTATTTTTTTTTTTTTACATATTTTTGTACAGATGGAGTCTTGCTGTGATGCCCAGGCTGGTCTCAAACTCCTGGCCTCAAATGATCTTCCTTCCTCAGCCTCCCAGAATGCTGGGATTACAGGCATCAGCTACTGCACCTGGCAGATCGTGTTTTTAACATGGTAGGTCTGCTTACTAGACAGTCATGTGACAGAACTTTTTGACATCTATTTGGAGATCTTTGAAAGGGTGAACAACTGAGTTTTGAATGTTTAGAGTTGCTGGAAGCCTGACCTCCCTATGAGTGGAAAACTGCAGCACTTCATTAATAATGGGTCTCATTTGAGCAATAACAAAAAGAATCATGATCTGTATTAGGTTTGAATATCCTCTACAAAGAGAGCTGAGTGAATGCCTAGATGCTAAGCCAATCAGCAGTTTCTAGAGGTTTAAGTCACTCACTGTTTCTGCTGTCTTTAGTCCTTTTAATATAAGTTCCAAATAGATAGGACATTCTACCTGATAGATGCAAGCTGCTCACCTTTCTGGAGGCGTCAGACCCAGAATGGTGCCATTGACTTTACCATCCCTATTGTAGAATATGGGTTTCCTAAACCATACCAGTTCCCTAGGAACAGTTTGCAAAGGTTGGAACTCATCTTTTCTTATACAGGAGTTTATTCCTGGGTCCCTTTATTTTATTTT